CAATAAATTTCAAAGGGTTGATGTAATACAGAATAGGTTAAGGGGTGTGTGTGTGTGTGTGTGTGTCTCCCTAGAAAATGTTTTATTGTTTGAAATTAGGAAATACACTTTAAGAAACCTAGAGCAAAGAAGAATTCCCAACAGTTATGTTAGAAATTGCTTGAGCTGAATGATAATGAAAAATAGACACACAAAATTGTCAGAATGCAATCAAAGCCATGCTTAAATGGAAATTATACCCTTGAATGCATACATTAAGAAACAGAAGCTGAAAAATCCATGACTTAAGCATCTATCACAAGTTAGAGTAAGAACAACACATTTAAACAAACTTGGAAGACTTACACTATTGGATATAAATATTTATAAAGTAATTAAGGCAGTTTGGTATTGGAGCAAGGACAGAGTCTAGTAGTAGACCTACACATATATATGGGCACTTGGTTTATTTTCATTGAATTATAGTTGACATACAGTATTACATTATTTGCAGGTATACAACATAGTGGTTCAATAGATCTATACATTATGCAATGCTTACCATGATAAGTGTAGTTACCATTTGTCAACACACAACACACAAAGTTATTACAATATTATTGACTATATTCCCTATGCTGTACTTTTCATCTCCCTAACTTATTTTATATGTGCAGGATTGTAGCTCTTAATCCCCTTCACCTACTTTGCCCATCCCCCTACACCCCTCTACTTTGACGATCACCATTTTGTTCTCTATATTTATGAGCCTGTTTGTTTCTTTTTGGTGTTTGTTTGTTCATTTGTTTTTATTTTTAGCTTCCACATATAAGTGAAATCATATTGTATTTGTCTTTCTCTGCCTGATTTATTTCACTTAGCATAATACCCTCTAGGTCCATCCATGTTGTCACAAATGACAAGATTTCATTCTTTTTTATGGCTAATATTCCATTGTGTGTGTGTGTGTATATGCATACACCACATTTTCTTTACCCATTCATTTATGGATGGACACTTGGGTTGCTTCCATATCTTGGCTATTGTAAATAATGCTGCAATAAACATAGGGGTGCATATATCTTTTCAAATGAGTGTATTCATTTTTTTTTTAAGATTTTATTTATTTATTTGACAGAGAGAGAGACAGCAAGAGAGGGAACACAAGCAAGGGGAGTGTGAGAGAGGAAGCAGGCTTCCCGCTGAGCAGGGAGCCCAATGTGGGGCTTGATCCCAGGACCCTGGGATCATGACTTGAGCCAAAGGCAGACTCTTAACGACTGAGCCACCAGGCACCCCGAGTGTATTCATTTTCTTTGGGTAAATATCCAGTAGAAGAATTATTGGATATGGTATTTCTATTTTTAATTTTTTAAGGAACCTCCATACCATTTTCCATAGTGGCTGCACTAATTTACATTCCTGCCAACATTCTCCACATCCTTGCCACCACTTGTTCTTTTTTTTTTTTTTTTTAATACTTTTAAGTAATTTCTATACCCAACATGGGGCTCAAACTCACAACTCCAAGATCAAGAGTGTTACACTCCACAGACTGAGCCAGTCAGGTGCCCCCACCACTTGTTATTTCTTATCATTTTGATACTAGCCATTCTGAATGGTGTGAGGTGATATCTCATTATGATTTTGATGTGCATTTCTGTGGGAACCTCATTTATGACAAAGGTGACCCTGTAAAGCAGCAAGCAAAGGACAATTTTGTCAATAAATGTCACAAGCCCACTGGATATACATATGATAGAAATCAATTTTGAGCTATATCCTCTTAAAAATCAACAGAGGTGGAATGTAGGTTTAAATGTTAACATTAAAATAATACAAATTCTGGAAGATAAAAAGAAGTTTTGGGGTACCTGGCTGGCTTAGTCTGTAGAGCATGCAACTCTTGATTGGGGGGGTGGTGTGTGTGTGTGTGACTTTGAGCCCCATGCTGGGTGTAGAGATTACTTAAAAATAAAACCTTTAAAAAAAAAAATTTTTCAAGACCTTGGGGTAGTAAAAGATTTTTAAAACAGGGCACAAAGAGCATTAACTAGCCCCTGGCAACTACCATTTTACTCTATTTCTGTGAAATTAGTTTTTACTTACTTTTTAAGATTCCATATATAACTGATGCCATACAGTATTTGTCTTTCTCTACCTGGCTTATTTTCCTTACTGTAATGCCCTCCAGGTTCGTCAACGATATAGCAAATGGCAAGATTTCCTTCATCTGTCAATAGACACTTAGGTTGTTTTCACATCTTAGCTATTGTGAATAATGCTGCAGTAGACACGGGTAGATACTTCTTCAAGATACTGATTTTTTTTTTCCTTTGGATAATTACCCAGAAGTGGAAATGTTAGATCATATAGTTTTATTTTTAATTTTTCGAGGAACCTCCATATTATTTTCCATAGTGGCTGCACCAATATATACTCCCACCAACAGTGAACAAGGGTTCCCTTTTTTCCACATCTTTGTCAACCTTTATAATCTCTTTTTTGATAAAAGACATCCTAACAGGTATCAGGTGTTATCAGATTGTGGTTTTGATTTGCATTTCCCAGGTGATTAGTGATGTTGAGTACCTTTTCATGTACCTGTTGGCCATCTGCATGTCCTTTTTGAAAAAAATGTCTTTTTAGGTCCTTTGCTCATTTTTTAATTGAATTATTTGATTTTTTTTTGTTATTGATTGATATTTGTTCCTCATATATTTTGGATATTAACGCCTTATCAGATATATGATTTCCAAATATTTTCTCCCATTCGTAGATTACCTTTTCATTATTTTGACTATTTCATTTGTTGTGCAGAAGCTCTTTCACTTGACATAGTCCTATTTAATTTTGTCTTTTTTTTTTTTTTTTTTAATGTGAGGCTTGAATCCATGACCACGAGATCAAGATCTGAGCTGAGATCAAGAGTAAGATCACTCCAAGTCCCACTTATATTTTAGGTTTTGGGGTCTATGCTTTTTTGTTGTCTTATAAAAACAAAACCAAACACACACACACACACATATACACACACACAAACATCGCCAAGACCAATGTCAAGGAGCTTTTTCTTGATGTTTTCTTCCAAAAGTTTTATGGTTTCCAGTCTTACATTTAAGTCTTCAATTCATTTTTAGTTAGTTTTTGTGAGTGATGTAAGGTCTAGGTTCATTCTTTTGCAGGTGGATATCCAGTTTTCCTACCACTACTTATTGAAAAGACTATCCTTTCTCCATTGTATGTTCTTGGTCAAAGGCTAGTTGACCCTTTATTCTGTTCCATTGATCCATATGCCTGTTTTTATCCCAGTACCACCCATAAAATGGAATACAATGTAAACACTGAAGAAATTATATAGATTTATGTTTACTGATATGGAAAACTATGTTATATTGTTGAATGAAAAAACTCAAGTTATAAACAAATGTACAATACACACACACACAAACATACACGCATATTCACACAGAGAGGTATTTTAAAGGATATTCATTTCTAGACTGCAAGATTTCAAGTGGATTTTACTTTTGTTCTCTATACTTTTATGGTAATGTTTCCTTTCTATTATAGTATTATTTATTCTTACAATCAAAATATTTTATTTTCATCTAAGGTCTTGCTGAATCATCTTGATTTTGCTTAAAAAATATCCTCTCCTTTACATTCGTGTAATTCAGGCCCTGTTTCAGGTCTTCATTATTTCTTACATAGCCATGTACAGCAACAATAGTTGCTCTGTCTTAACAGCAGTAACACATGATATCCGTATACTACTTACCAGTTTACAAAGTCTTTCAGTACATTGTCCCTAGACCCAAAACAACCTTACAAGTAAAGAAATATGAAGAAAATCTACCTTTACTGGAGGGAACAGAGGCAGAGGTGAAAAGGTGGAGATAAAGTCAGTGGGATCAAAAAATCTAAAAAGTGTTATAATTTCTGAACTGTGATGTCAACATGCACAGATATTGTAAATATTAAATAGTAAAACCTTCCATCAATATATGAATATGCCTGTTCAATTTGACAGAACAAAATACAAAATACAGATGATAAATAACAGAAGGTTCATAGTTTTGAAGTAATTAGAAAGATTTTTTTCATGATCAATGAAAGCACAATTTAAATGAATGGTGCAAAGCTAGAATTTAAACAACAAACTCATTCCAAAGACAAGTGACCTAAAGCCATGAACCCATTTTAACAACTAAGCCATCAAAGCTTAATTTAAACTACAAAAATGTCTTCATTGTGCAGAAGATTCAGGTAAAAGAGGCTTCTAGAATTTTTTGGCTTTCAAGAAGTTTTTTGCTTTATTGTTTCTTTGACGACAATGAAGTTTCTGTGGAGCAGAATACGCTAGGAAACCAGAAAAGGAACACCACCTTCATCTGATCTCACTGTGACATTGTGGTAAAAGATCTTACAAGAAAATGATACAAAGCACAAGGACCTGTAAGGAACTGGCCAATTTTACTGCTGTTAGCTAATAAATGGGAGGATTAAAGTGTATGTGAATTTATAACCCCTTGGATCTACTTTGCACTGTGGTTACTTTAAAAATACAAGTGAGAACATTCATAATTTGTTACTTCACACTAAAAGGTAAGGGACAAACTGAGTACATTCAAAATCTATGGTACATATTTTGCCTTATGCCCTAACTTCTGTAGCTGTACTTCAGAGGATGGATTAAAAAGACATTTAAGCTTATTAGATAGAAAGGTGTCATCCCCTCACATCAAGGTACATGAAGAGAAAAGTTCAAGAATTATAAATTCTTAGAAAACATAAAATATCCTTTGGGCCCTGGCAAGGAAAATGTCAACAAGTCAAAAGAGACTAGATGGCTACTGACCAGTTTCATGAAGGCAAAGCTGCAAGCCAAGATGGAATAATGCTTTCCCACCATGTGTCTAAGGCACAAATGACACTAATCCTTTTTAATGGTCACAAAAGCTGACAACTTACTCAGCCTTAGAACTGAAGGCACAAAATCATCTCTGGGAATGACTCACCATAAACAGGTCACGAGCACCAATGTCAACAGCTAACAGAAATGCCTTTTCAAATCTCTGGTACCTATAAGGAAGAAAACAAATGTTCTATGTTAGTTGTGAACAAAACCATAAAAGGAGAGAATTTAATGTATTTATGTTACTGTTTTTTATTCTTCTGATGCTAGTTTAATGTATTTATGTTATTGTTTTTTATTCTTCTGATGGGAAAAATATTTTCAAACAGTAGGGAATTTGCCTGTTGGGATTTTCTGTATGTGAAATGTTACTGCATTTAGGGGGAGCTGAGGCAAAGCGTCCATAGAGGCCTTCAATGCAACTTTCAAGGATAAGCAGAACCCAGAGTAGGTGCTGCTGAATATAGGGAAAGGCTGGCTTAGGAAGCAGGTCTCTCATAATTTTTAACTTTACTGTGTTTTGTAAGAGAAAAGTATGAGGATATGGAGAATATAGCAGGATAAAAGTAATTAACAAATCAAATAATTACCCTTTTGTGTTTCTTAGGTAAAAAGTGAGAAGTCAAATGTATTATTACAAAAGTTGTATTTGTGAGTTTTGGAAAAAATACATCCTAGGCTGCCCTCAAATAACAATAATAAATGGTTTCTAAATATTTTAAAGTATTTTCTAAATATGTGAAGTATTACTTGTCTGCTCTTTTTTCACAATCGTACTATCTTTCCCTGAAGTATAACTTTGATAATTCTTTATGGTGAAAGTTTAACTTTATGCTAAGATACATGAAAACTACAGTTTAAATTAATTACCTTTACAGAAAGTTTAAGATCTTGAGAGCAAAGCATGTCATGACCATATACTTTTTGCACAGAGGTTTAGAAGGAAAGGTCTTTTTTTTTTTGGTCTGAATGTGAAGATTTGCACAGATATAATTGTGAGTTTTTCTGACTCCAGAAACAAGCAGTTAAGTAACCAAGTTGTTCTCTGTTCTCTATTTCATATTGTGAAATATGATAGTATAAAATATAAAGATTTCAACCAGAAAATATCAGAAATATGGAATATTAGTTATTACTAACAGATTACATAAATTTCATTAATAAAATAGCTATAATAAGTAAAGTACAAGCAAAAAATTAATGACTGTTATCCCCAATCTCCTCCTTTGCCCTTCTTACTAGCCTCCCCAGTATTTGCCTGAATCTCTTTCACCTATGGAAGTTCAGAAGGCAATTGTGTTTATTTTTGTTCCAGGAAGCTTATGGATTCATTATACATTCAGTGGAGGTAGGATGTAATGAGAAAGAGGACAGAGGATTATAGCAAGTTACAGTACTTATTCATACAGTCACTGCTATTTTGCCACTACACTGAAACTTCTCTGGCAATAGTAATCGTCCATCTTCTAATGATCAAACAAATGATAAGTTCTCCTCTTGTGTCCCTTCTGGCCACATCTGACCCTATAAATTTCCCCTCTTTGAAACCCCCTCTTTCCTTGCATTTGGAGATGCCATTCTTTTGTTTTCCAATTTCTGGCATTTCATCTTCTTAGTCTCTTTTCCTAGTTTGTTTTTCTCTGCCTACTCCATGAAGTTGATGTGCTTTTGTACTCTTTTACTTACACTCACTACTCTAGTCTCCCGACTAACCTTACCTACTCTCATGGCATTGATAATTGTATCAGTGACTCACGAATCTCTAGGATCCCTATCTTTCCTGAGCTTGAAACTCTTACTTCCAGGTACTTCAAATTTAAAATGTCTAATATGTTCACAGATACATCAAATTGGCAATCATATACAGGATAAATTAAAATTGGAGAGAGTGAAATTAAGAGGGGCAAGATAGGATGTATTCTTCTTTCTAGGTGAGAGGTAATGAATGACACTATGATAAAATGAAAGAACAAGCATTGGCATCTGGCAGCATGGACAACCAGAAATACCAAAGGGAGCTCGCAACTAGACTGCCTATAAAACATACATTAAAGCACATCACAGAATTCTAAAAAAAATAAGAAAATCTCTCCAAGGGTTCCATAGTCTTAATCAAAAAATAGCAACAAAATGAAATCCCTTCATTAAAACTAGTGTAAAGATCCCTGAACAGAGAGCAAATACTGGGGAGCAGGGAGAGGCAGAACTATCTAACGGCCATCACTTCAAGAGACTGAGCCCTGAACAAGTCTCAAGGTAAAGATGCTAAACCCAAGACTTCTGATTAAGCCAAGGGTTAAAATATTCCCAGGATATAGTCTAACTTTGGCATAAAGAATAAAAAAAAATTCATGTCTGGATTAAAGCATTTTTTTTTAAGTAGGCTCTATGAACCCAAGAACTACATTCCCATGCTCCACCAACTGAGCCAGCCAGGTACCACTGGATTAAAGCGTTTTTGATAGAAAGCCCCAGGATTACCATCAATTAAAATAAAACAAATATGAGTTCACCATCAAAAATCACCAAATGCAGGGGCACTTGGATGGCTCAGTTGATTAGGCATCTGACTCTTGATTTCGGCTTAGGTCATGATCTCAGGTCATGAGATGGAGCCCTGAGTTGGGATTCTCTCTCTCTCCCTCTGCCCCTCCCCCTGTTTGTGTGCTCTCTATGAAACAAGTGTATCTTAAAAAAAAATCACCAAATGCACAAGAAAACAAGCTACTATGATGTAAAATAATTTCACAGACTGTTTTTTCTTATGGTATCTTATAATTCATATATGCTTTCTATACTCCCTTTTAAAATTTTTTTATTTAAATTCAGTTAACATATACTGTATTATTAGTTTCAGAGGTAGAATTCAGTGATTCATCAGTTACACACAACACCCAGTGCTCCTTACTTCAAGTGCCCTCCTTAATGCCCATCACCCAGTTACTCTATCCTCCCACAGACCTCCCCTCCAGTAACCCTGTTTGTTCCTTATAGGTAAGAGTCTCCTATGGTTTACCTCCCTCTCTGTTTTCCTCTTATTTTATTTTTTCCTTCCCCTCCCCTATGTTCATCTGTTTTGTTTCTTCAATTCCGCATATGAGTGAAATCATATGGTATTTGTCTTTCTCTGACTGACTTATTTCATTTAGCATAATACCCTCTAGGTCCATCCATCATTGCAAATGGGAAGGTTTCATTCTTTTTAATAGTTGAGTAATATTCCATTGTGTGTGTGTGTATGTGTGTGTGTGTGTGTATAGATACCAGATGTGTATAGATAGATAGATAGATAGATAGATAGATAGATAGATAGATAGATATACCACCTCTTCTTTATCCATTCATCTGTCAATGGACATCTGGGCTCTTCCCATAGTTTGGCTATTGTGGACATTGTTCCTAGAAACATTGGGGTGCACGTGCCCCTTCGAATCACTATGTTTGTATCCTTTGAATAAATACCTAGTAGTGCAATTGCTGGGTGGTAGGGTAGTCCTATTTTTAACTTTTTGAGGAACCTCCATACTGTTTTCCAGAGTGGTTGTACCAGGCTGCATTCCCACCAGCAGTGTAAGAGGGTTCCCCTTTCTCCGTGGCCTTGCCAACATTGGTTGCTTCCTGAGTTGTTAATTTTAGTCGTTCTGACAGGTATCTCATTGACGTGGCATCTCATTGTGGTTTTGATTTGTACTTCCTTGATGCCGAGTGATGTTGAGCATTTTTTCATGTGTCTGTTGGCCATGTGTATGTCTTCTTTGGAGAAATGTCCATTCATGTCTTCTGCCCATTTCTTGATCAATTTTTTGTTTTTTTGAGTGTTCAGTTTGATAAGTTCTTTATAGATTTTGGATACTAGCCCTTTATCTGATAAGACATTGCAAATATCTTCTCCCATTTCAAAGGTTGCCTTTTAGTTTTGTTAACTATTTCCTTTGCTGTAGAGAAGCTTTTTATCTTGATGAAGTCCCAATATTTCATTTTTGCTTTTGTTTCTTTTGCACTTTCTTCACTCCTTTTCATTCTTTTTTGTTCTCCTTCACCTGAGTAATTTCAAAAGATTTGTCTTCTACCTCAGAGATTCTTTCTTTGGCTCAATCCTGTCTGATATTGATGCTCTCTACTACATTTTTCATTTCATCCATTGTATTCTTTACCTCCAGAATCTTTTTTTTTTTTTATGATTTCTATCTTTGTAAAGTTCTCATTTTGTTTGTGCATTGTTTTCCTTATCTTACTGTCTTTGTTTTCTTGAAGCTCATTGAGCTTCCTTTAAAAAACTATTTTTAATTCTTTATTGGGTAAATCACAGACCTCCATTTCTTTGGGGATATTTACTAGAAAACTATTGTGTTTCTCTGGTGGTATCACATTCCTTGATTTTTCAAGTTTCATGAAGCCTATGTTGCAATTTTCTCATTTAAAGAAGTAGTCACTTCATCCAGTCTTACCAACTAGTTTAAGGAATGAAAAAGCTTCTATTAGCCCTGTGGGGATTCTGAGTCTTTCTCAGTCCTTTTCTATGGATACACCTGCTCCACACTTCTCTTCCCTCTTGAGGAGGAATTCTTAAGGTTGTATGCCCTCTCTTCTATTCTGTAACCCTAGGCCAGATGCTGAGAGCCTCCTGTTTGCTTGCCTTAGGGTAGTCCTTAATGCTCAAGTTTGTGTGCTTTCTCTTAAACCTGCAGAGTCAGGCCAGCTTTCTGTGTGTGATTAGTAGCCATTTGCAAAGGCACCTCTTGTCACCCTGGAGGTGTGCACAGAGAACCGGCCATTGGGTGTGGGGGCACACATGGAGCATTGGGGATACCTGATGCCAGTTCTGGGGATCCATAAGCAAGGTCTCCTCATGAGTTTGTGGGCAGGCTTCCTGATAACAGTCTGTCAATCAGTTAGTAGGATCTGTGTTCCCGTGATGCCCTCTGAGAGTCGTGACTGCTGTTGTTCCAGCTGCTCCCCACCACCTAGTTATGCAACACACCTCAGTATTCTAGATGGGGTGAGAAAGAAGTGAGTCTCTGGCAGCATCCTACATAGCTTGGGAAGTCAGGCAGTTATTCACATGCTCTCACTTTTAGCCATGGGAGAAATCATGTGCTGAGAATTGTGGGATCTTGGCACTGAGCTGTGCCACTTGGGGAAGGGATGACACAGGTAAAATGAAACC